TGACCTTTGTGTCATTGGCACTTAGCACAGTGCCTTTTAGACAAACACTTGTTGGCCTGGATCAGTGAGACAGAAGAGAGAGTGAAAATATTTATCAGAGGTAGAATATACATTCAAGGACATGCAGATTAAGGGGAATGTGTGCAGGGAAGCTCAGGGCATATATTAGAAAGTGTTAGATGAAGGGGAATAAGACAAGGGAGAAAAAGAAGCACCTGCAGTGCAGTGGAAAAGTCTACTTTGTCTGCATCCTAGGTCTGGCCAATTCACATTTTTTACCCCCCTGAACTAATTTCCTTCCTTTCCCTCCATCTCTTGTGGCCAATCCTACCGAAATCAGCATATTCTACGTCTAAAACACAGAGACTTACAGTATTGGTTTAAACATCACATAAACAGGAAGGTAAGTCTCGTTTTTATAAGTCACGATATACGGCAAAGCCGAATTCTGGAGAATTATTCATAGTTTACATGAAATTCCAGTCACAGCTATTATCTAGATAGTTTGTGCTCCTGCACTGAATAATCTTTTATTCTTTAAAATTAGCTAATATTGACCTGGTAGTTAGTAACCTGGTAGAATTGAGGCTTTTATGTCTTCTCTTTAATCTACTTAAAACATGTAAATATGAATTGGTTTTAGTGTTTGTGATTTCTCTCCCTTCTCTACCAGCACCATCAACAAGGGTTTAAAATGTTTCTTGTCCAACATTTCGTCAAAGTCAGGAAGAAGCTCTCTAGACAGTGGAGGAGTTGAAAATGGGAGATGGGAGAAGAAGTACTAACCTGGCCCCACTCTACCTTTCTAACCGTAGTGAGGTTATTATTATATATCCTATGAAGTGTTTTGGAAGTCAGAGTCAAGTTTTAAGCCGTTAAAAACGTTTTTTAAACTGCACTAAGACTTTTGAAACACCCCATGGATTACTCTCCTTCACACTCTCTTGTCCAGTCAAACTGCCCTTCTGTTTCCCATGTAGGACATTCAATTCCATCTTTTTAGGATCCTTCAGGTGATCTCCCCAGATGCAAGGGCTTCCCACAGTGCCATTATTTTGTATTTATTTGGAAAGTACTTATAACTGTCCATATTTCCTTCTGATAGAGCATAATCTCCTTGAGGGGAGGGGCTATTTCATTTTTTGCCTTTAGATCCTCAGAGCTGGCACTGTAGGTTCTTAATAAAATGCTTGCTCAATTAAGGCATGCTTTAATAACAGACTCATTAGTCAGAATGCTTTACCATGGAGACAAAACTAATGAATCTTCTGGTGTACTTACTCCTGGGCTGGAAGCCTGGACTGAGTTCCTGGCTTTTTAGATAACTCACAGGAAACCATGCTGCCACCCAAGACATTGTGTGGACTTGACGAGAACAAACCTAGCTTAAAAATGTTGGTGTCAGGGCAGCTAGGTGGCCCAGTAGATGCAGCACTGGCCCTGAAGTCAGGAGGCCCCGAGTTCAAACCTGGTCTCAGACACATAATGCTTACTAGCTATGTGACTCTGGGCAAGTCATTTAACCCCAATTGCCTCACAAAAAAAAAAAAAAAAAAGTTATGTCAAGGAACTGGGAGTGAGAGGTGGCAAGGAGCCCTCAGAAAACCAGAAATCGTACCAATGAAGTAACTTGGATCTGGGAGGAAGAAATGTGGTTGGAATCCACTGGGATTTTGTTCCCTAGGCTGGAAATCAGGCAAATTCAAATACTGCCTCACATTTACCAGCCCTGGGTCCTGGGTAAGTCACTAAACTTCTTGGAAACTGTTTCCTCATCTGTAAAATAGGAATAATACCTATTTCACAGGGCTATCATGAGGCTCATATGAGATACTATATGTATTTAAGGTCTGTCACAAACCTTAAAGTCCCATATAAATGTTAGCTCCCTTCCAGCAGGGAGGACAGAGGTGTTACTGTTCCTTTAAAAAAAAACAAAAAACAATTGCATTGCAAGGCTCACCCTAATCCCTCAGAGAAATCCGACTCTCCATTTTTATGAGTATAAAATCTTAATATGGTAATTCTAAGACATATTCTATTATTGGACCATCTTCTATGGACCATGAAGTCTAGTCCCTTATCACTGGGTCTGTAGAATTCTGAGTGGAAAAATTCTTCATCTACTTTGGGCCTCACTCTTTGTCAATAACTTAGAACTTTTAAAGTCACCTAAAAAGGTCATTTAGAGTTATTGTTTTCAATGAAATATTTAATACATATTTTACAGAGCAAGCCCTTGAGTTTTTCTGGTATCAATATAGGCAGATATGGGAGTAATTATTTATTCAGGTGTGTGAATAATGGACTCCCATATGTTACTTTGGGGCCAGTGGTGTACTAAATTACTTATGCACTTTATATAATATTAATGTCCTTAATCAAAGTCATCATGAACAGGAATCAAATAGGACAGAAGGATTGAAATCTGTACCAGCACTGAGAAGATGGCCACATCATGGGAGATCACTGATGCACTCAGACTTCTGAACACTGAGATCTTAAGATCTTAGATCAGAGGTGAAAGAGACCTCAGAAGCCAATTAGTCCAACTGCCTTATTTTATAGATGAGCAAACTGAGGTCCCAGGAAATTAAATTACTTGCCCAAAGGTCACACAGGCAGTTTTACATCTAATTTACCTAATTGTTACCTGGCTCACTTATTAATCAGATTCTTTCTGTTGTGGACAAAGAAAGTAGTGTTGTTGAGTCCTGTCCAACTCTTCATGACCCCATTTGGGATTTTCTTAGCAAAGATACTGGAGTGATTTCCCATTTCCTTTTTGAGCACCTTTTACAGATGAGGAAACTGAGGCAAGCAGGGGTAAGTGACTTGCCCAGAGTCACAAAGCCAGTAAGCGTCAGGCTGAATTTTAACTCTGGCCTTCCTGACTCCAGGTCTGGCAACCCATCCACTAAACCACTTAACTACTCCTAATTTACCAATTTGTTACTTGGCTCATTTATTAATCAGATTCTTTCCCTTGTGGCCAAAAAGTGCTAATGCACTGTGCCTACTTCAAGTCAAACATCTAAGTGTTTTCTCCATGCAAGGCCATGGCTATGTTGAGTATAAAGACAAAGAAAAGACATTACCCCGAAGTTTGCATTCTGCTGAAGGAATTCTAAATATACCCATATAAAGCACAATCTCAGGTGTTTTGAAGTGGTTAGGAAATACTACTAATTGTAAAGATGGAGGAGAGGAATCAAGGAAGGCTTCACAGAGGAAGTGGCCCCTGGTAAGCCTTGAAGGATCAATTAAACAACAAGCATTTATTAAGCACTTACTATATGCCAGACACTGTGAACTAAAACAAAAATTAGACTATAGAGGTCCCAACTCTCGGGGATTGTATTTTTTTTAATTGGATCAATCAGGGAAGATTAATTCACAGGTAGAGAGTAATTTACCCTTAAGGATATGGTTCACTAAGTACTTACTGAAACCGTACCATGAGTTTTTATTTTTAATAGACTATAGGTCCTAAAAGCTTTTTGGAGCTAAGTTCAGTTTTATTAGTCAAATCAAATGTTTGATCCCCAGTAATCTACTTTTCAATGGCAGATGGAATCTTTAAAAAACAAAAAAAGAACTCATCCTATCTCCATTTATACAGAACTTGGGAAAATTTCCAAGTATCTGTTACTACATGCCCTAAACACAAGAGTGATACTCAAAATAGGAATAAAAATATTGTTTTCTTCTAGTAGCTAGTCAAACAGCGAGAATTCAAGATGCATTTTAATATTTACTTTTTAAGTCACTGACTCCAGTGACTACAGCTAATAATTTTTATGTACTGCATTTAAAAAACAAAACAAAACAAAAATATAATCTAAGAACAAATATACAGTGGAAGAAAATTGGATGTCAGACTGTACAAATGAATTTTTACTTTAGGCATGACAGACTTTATTTTGGCACTTTAACAAATACTTTGCTTTACAGCAGTGACAAAATATTTGCCAGAAATTTCCTTTTCCTGGCACAGGGATTCCAAGCAATTCTAGGATTTGAATTTCACTGCCTTCTGTACAATGAGAGGTATTTCCACTACATTCCTAACTTTTTAGTAATGGATGGACATTGAATAGCTTCAGACCATGCTATTATTTCCTTTTTGTTGGTTTTTTAAAAATGAGATTGTTTCTACACTCATGGGACATAAACTTGAGTGTTAAGGCCATTGGAGTTTAAGAAGATGATGCTCTGGTGTCTGCTTTTTGGGAGACCCTTTGAAGCTCTATGAGAATTCAAAGAAGCCCCCAGAAAAATAGATCATCCTTTATTAGTGAGTTGCATGCTGGAAAAGTTTGACTACTGATATTTTTGTTCCTAAATTGGTGATTCAGAATTAGAAAAGAGAGAAAGCTTTGGTAAAACTGAAGTAGGTGATGTCCAAAGGATAAACACAGTAGAGACACACCATTTTCTTCCCAGACTATCTACACTGCTTTTCATTCATATGAATCCTTAACAGCCAGGTCTTTCTGTCATGTAGAAAGAGGTAATTCCACCTTCTTTGAAGGGAACTAAGCTAGTCCATCTTTTATGCTTCTGTTAAGCTTTCAGGAGAGAGTTAAAGCACAGTTTTTAAAGGTAAATCAAATCAACGGCTAAGCCTCAGATACCTAATTCAGGAAAACCCCTTTCATACCTTTGGAACCTATAGTCCTGAAAGAGTTATTTGCAAAAAGCACACATCTATCTCATATTGCCAGCAGCTATTCTATAGAGGTTGCAAGCCTCATAATTCACTGGCAACCTTCCAAATTTCTAAATCAACACACACACAAGCTGATATATTCAGGTTTCCTCTGATTAATTCAAAAGGGAGTCTTGCTACAAAGCAGCCTCATCCATGTCTTCTTTGGTCTTCAGTTACAAATAGCACCCCCGAAATCAAACCCACGTCATCTTTGATAAAAACAGAATCATAAGCCAATGGGAAGTGTACATTTGGTCGAAAATGTATAAAATCTATAACAATGACATTTTCCATATTAGGCCACATGATTTATTCAGTAGTGTTTATGTTCCCAAATTACAATTTATGTCTATCCATAAGACTACAAAAGTTACCATTAGAATTGTCTGTGCTTATAAAATACCAACTTCTTTTTTTTTTTACTGTTATATATACTCATTAACACCAGTCTGCGACAAGTTACATAGAATCATAGGCACTTCAAAGGCTTAAAAAGACGTTTACAACTTAAATGCATGTTTTTAAAGAACAAAAACTGATTTTTTTCTTTGAACCCCTACTCGTACCTTCAAATTGCAAGAAATTAACAAATACAGTGACCATAGGAATCTGCAGCAACTTCTCAGAATACTGTTAAGAGTCTTTGGGTCTGCTTAGGTTTGTCAGTAACTTACACCAGCTCCTCCTGATGGAAGATCTGATTAGTAAAGCTATGACTATACAGTTTTGTGATAACAACCCAATTTTACACGTTAATCTGCTGTTGCAAATCTGTCTGCAGCTACAGGTACACTGAGAAACAAAGCAAGTGTAAAATGGATATTCCAACACTCAGAAATTTATACAAAGTGGAGGTGAAGTTGTCATCTCTGAAAAATCACATTTACACTAAATTACCTTTATCTGAATTATCCAAAGACAAATTGCACCATGACTGCTACAAAAGGAATATTGGGTGGGGACAGGAGAGGGTGATGGGGTAGGGAGGGAGGGAGGAAAAGGAGCAGGGGAGAAAAACAGATAAATTAATGAAATAAGACTAACTTGTAAGACTGATCTGAGACATGCTGACAAAAATTAAACAACTTTCATCATCGAACCATAGGATAAAACAATCATATCATTGTTTTCATATTTACGCATAAAGGTTTAAAATGATTCCGTGAACATCGAGGTTTTTCCTTTTTATAAAATAATATTTTGCCACTGCTATTCACAGAACACTGCAGATGTTAAGTTTTAATTTTACGTTGTTCTAAAGGAATACATGAAAAGTTTTAAATACAATGGGACTTTATCATAAAGGTGCCAGAATGGCTCTTTAATGAAAAAAAAAAAACCAAAGATCTTCATTATTCTATGCAAAAGCTTTTATTTTAAAAAGTTCAGTGATCTCATAAATAGAGACACTAAATGGGAGTTTCACGCATAAAACTCCTTAGTAGGTGCCTTTTGATAAGCAGCACTGGATGGTTTCCGTTCTCCAAGGTCATAGCTGCCTTCATCCTTCTTTCTCATGCGATATACCAACAGCAAGATCAGGAAAATTGCAAAGAGAAAGCCAATAACTCCACCAGCAATGACAGCTGCAAGACAACAAAAGAAAGACTACTGTCAAAAGAGATGCAAAAAGATGTAGAAATCAGATTTATCAGGCTGAATGCATTTGTACTTCTATCAAGGACTTAATTCCCAAACTGAACCTTTATGAAACTAGTTAGATACAATGAAGCAACTAGGTAATTAGGCAAAGCTGGTGGTCTTAGGGAAGGCAGAATACTTTCTTTGATTAGTGTAAGCAATATTCTTCAAAAACCTCAACCAGAAGATAAATTTGGCCATGATTATTAAACCACAGCTAACTCTATATTCTGAAATGCTGTAATCTTTTGAACACTAGAATTTCATATGTGAATTCTCTGATGACTCTTCTTTTAACTGATGGGTTTCTATTTACATTCATTTCATTTCCTAAGGACGGTCATGAAAAAAGAATTTATTTTGTTCTTTAAATTACTTTTCTAGTCCCAGATTTCTTTGTATCATTTAATTTATCAGACATTCTTAAATCCACCTCATTATCTGAGGTGAAAATCCACTTAAAATCAAATAAGAATACTTCTATCAAATGAAATCAGAGACTGGGTTCTTAAGGGCTATATATAATTATTCATGCAATATATAAAAAAATAAAGATCAATCACTTTCCTAGACATAACTCAGATCTCTCTAATCTGCTCTCTAAAGTTATTAAAATAGAGTATTTGGGGGAAATCTCCTATCATCAACACATCAATTTAATATATATTAATATACATAATATATATTATGTATACATATATCCATAATATATAAATATACACAATATACATTATCTATTAATTTTATATATATAATATAATATAATACAATACAACAGGGAAATACTGCCTGCTATAAATGCCAACCCAAAATTAACTATAAAGATGATGGTGTTATCACTCCAAAAAATTATCATTTCTTCATACCAGGTAGTGTCCTTTAAAGACAACTAACTTAAAACTGAAGATTTAACACCAGTCATTTTTAAAATGGGCCATCTCTCAAACCAACAACAATTTTAATAAATACCCCAAATCTAACTACTCAAGCTCTAAAACATGCAACACAGGTTGGTTTCCAAGTTTACGTATTATTACTGGGTTCTCAATTGCTCAGGAATCCTCTCAGTCTGGCTATAAAACATATGGAGTACACAGATAGAGTGAAAAGCCTCCTCTCATGCATCTTGACTCTGAAATTTGTAGCCAGTTTATCAAAGACCACTGGCAAATTCTCAAGGGTAGTCATTTTGAATAGCGATCTCGTGATAACCACCACCACAACAACAAAAAACAAACAAACAAACACAAAAGTAGAGTGATCACTAAGTTAAATCAACAAAGTAACAAATGGCATTTTCCCCCCACATATTTGAAAGTCGGTTCAGTGCCAGTCGAGTCCTAAGAGCTCAAAATATGCTTCATAGTTAACTTCAAAGGCCAATTTGGTTCAAGGACTAAACTGTCCCAGGGCTCTTTTGGCTCAAGGATGAATTGGAGCCAGATTGGACTTCACAAAGCCTCTCTAGACCAGAAAAGACCTCTAAAATGATCTTTCCTCTTCTTTGGCTTCTCTCTGTAGGTCATGTAGTTAAATATCTACCAGACCTTCCCTGAAGATTGGCCTAGCCTCTTACCATGCATGATGAGGAAAGATTTTTAGGATTGTCTGGGTGAGTCCCAGCCCAAAGGTAACTCAGCATTCCTTTGGTTACGGATTTCTTTACTGTATATTTATTGTCCTTTCATATCTCTGTCTCTCACCTTCTTTTCCATATGTTTTGTACTGGGGTAGGGGGAGAATGGAGCTGGCTAATGTACAAAAAGCAACTCACCCGCAAGGACCTCTGTCCTCTTAAATAGATTGTCTGAGTGCTTCTCTGTATACACATTCGTATCCTCATCAGCTGCCTCAATCTTTGTGCCAGAGTCTGAGATGCGAGCTTCCTCCTTGTCGATTTCTTCAGGGGACTGAAGTACAGGGGGAAAAAAGAGAAAGAATTTTCATGCCAAAAACTTACCAGAAGAGAAAGAGGCTATAGTTACATGTACACCGTAAGGATCTCCACCATTATTTAGCACATGATCATGGAAGGCAGCAGTCCTAATTGTTGTGTCAACAAAAATGGTAGAAAGGCACATTCAGTCTATTGATCCCAGACCTAAAACTGGCAAGGACCTCAGAGGCCACATTTAGGCCAAATCTCTCATCTTACAGAGGGGGAAACAGAGGCCAAAGTGACCTGCCCAAGAGCACAGAGGGAATAAGGGTCAGAAGCAGAACTTGAACCCAGGTCCTCTGACTCTGGAACCAGATTTTTTCCTTTCTCTCTCGTTCTGTACCTCCCTTATACATGTACATGTAAAAAGATCACAAGGTTTGGAAGGAGAGCCCTCCAGGTTGGAATCAAGACTTGGCTACTTATTATTATGTGACCTCATAAGAATCTACCTGACTGTCACAAGTGAAAAGCACTTAAAAATCACATAAATCAGCAGATGATATCAGAGATCATATTTTTAAGGGCTAGATGTATTATTCTGCAAAATATGAAAAAAAAGTTCACCTCTCTCAGTTTCCTCATCTGTAAAGTGGACTAGACGATGTCTAGGGACCCTCCTCTGCTCTAAATCAATGATCTGTACTCTCTCACTATCAACTTATCTGACTCCCCCGCCCCCCCAACAATTATAGTTTCCCCTGTCCAGGCACTGCTTCATTGAAATTATTCAATGGTCACCAATTCTTTCCATGACTTCCAAGGGTACAGAACAGGAAATCAGAGCCCCAGCTTCCAGTCTTTCAGTAAATAAACATTTATTAAGCAACAACTATGTGCTAGGCTCTGTATGCTAAGCACTGGGAATTCAAAGAAAGATAAAAGACAGTGCCTTCTCTCACGGAGCTCACAGCCTGATGGGGAAGATAACATACAAACAATTATGTACAAATAAGCTACAAACAGGATAAAGCAGAAATAATCAATAGAGGGAAAGCACTAGAGTTAAGGGTGATCCTTACCAGCTTTTCCAATTACTAGCTCTGTAACCCAAAGCAAGTCACTTGATCACACAATCTCAGCTCGTTCATCTGTAAAATGTTGAGGTGGATACTCTCCATGTCCCTTTTGAACTATACCATTATCCGTTTTTTGTGTTCCCCAGTTTACATCTCTAGAGTGGATCTTTCATCCTGGTTCAGTTCTGTATTCCCAGATGTCTTCATTTACATATCCCGTGACCACAAACTGATGATTGTTGTTGTTGTTCAGTCACGTCCAACTAGTCATGACCCTGTGGACCATACTGTCCATGATTTTTTTTTGGTGGGGGAGAAGGGAGGGTGAGGTAGGGCAAAGATACTGCAGTGGTTTGCTATTTCCTTCTCCAGTTCATTTTACAGATGAAGAAACCGAGGCAAACAGGGTTATGTGATTTGCCCAGAGTCACACAGCTAGTAAGTGCCTGAGTCTGGATTTGAATTCACATCATCCTGACGTCTATCCACTGAGTCATCTAGCTATCCCAAATTGATCATGCCTAACAATAAATTCATGATCATCACCAACAAACCACCCCTTCTTCCAAGTTTCTGCCATTGTCCCAGCACCACAGGAGGCAAACCTTGGTGTCATCTTGGACTCCTTCCCACTGCCATTTTTTTTCTTTGTCACCCTTTCAAATGAGTGTCTTCTTTTTCTATTCTAGGTCCTCATAACCCCATGCTTGAATTACCTGGGCAGATTCCTCACTGGTCTTCCTGATTCCATCTTTCTTCTTGCCCCAACATGAAGCTGCTAGCTACTGTCTACTAAATGGCCCCCCACATGGCCTGCACATTCTTACTTCTTTGCTTCTCCCCGCTTCTGTTCTTTACACCTGGAATATCATTCCCCTTCATCAATCCAAATCTACTAACTTCTTCTGAGGTACATTCCTGGCTACCCAGCCCACTGTGATCTTTAAGTTCTATGACCTCATATGGCACTTAATGTAAATCACTTATCAAATGCTTGGTGGTATGTCAGCTTCTAATGCCCTTGAGTTGTTTCTCCTTCAACTTATCTTCCCAGATAGATTTCTTGAGTGTAAGGACCATGTTTTCCACTTCTTCTGTATCACTTATGTTCCTTAGCCCAGAATGAGTACACAACCAGAGCTTAAAAAAATACAAAATGTTAAATCTGGAAAGGACGTGAGACAGCATCTAATCCAATGATAATACCCAATCACTTTGTGCTACCGATAAGGGTTTTTGGAGTGGGAAAGGGATATTTCTTTTAATCTAATAGCATCCTGCTCATTAGAAATATAATTTAACACATATCAGAGTGGCCTGAATAAATGAGATTCCAAAGATACAGCTGGTGTATTTAACTAATAATAATGTTGTTGTTGTTGAATCATTTCTGATTCTCCGTGGCCCCATTTGGGTTTTCTTGGCAAAGATACTGGAGTGGTTTGCCATTTCCTTTTCCAGCTCATTTTACAGATGAGGAAACTGAGGCAAACAAGGTTAAGTGGCTTGCCCAAGGTCACACAGCTAGTAAGTATCTGAAACCAAATTTGAACTCAGGAAGATGAGTCTTCCTGACTCCAGGCTTGGTGCTCTATCCACTGTATTACTTAGCTGTCCCTAATAATAATAATAAGGATATAACAATAATAACAACTAGCATTTATATGGTGCTTTAAGGTTTATAAAGCATTTATCTTGTCGTCTCTTTTGATTCTTACAATACCCTATAAGGTAGATGCTATTACTAGCCCCATTCATACAGATGAAGAAACAGGCTGGCATGGGTTAAATAACTTGCCAAGGGTCACACGGGAAGTGTCAAGAGGCAGGATTCGAATTCGGATCTTTTTGACTCCAAGTCCTAGACTGTCTAAGTACTATGCCACCCAGGCACCTCAAAGGTCCCTGTAGCATGTATATTAACAATGAATATGAATGAGCCAAGAGTATAAAACGTCTGTCAAAAATGCTAATATGATCTTTGGCTATGTTAATTAATACAAAGTATATGAATGAGATGGTTGAGAATCCCACTGTTCCCTGTTCAGATCAAGCCAAAGCAGAAGTATTGGGCTTAGCTATGGACACCATACTTTCAGAGGGATACGACAAGTTGGACTGTGCAGAATCAGGTGAAGATAATAGGTATGTTTTATTTGGGAGAATATAAGTTATTTTTTTGCAGGGGGGGAGGGGGGCGGTGAGAAGAGGAAGGGGAAGAGGGAAAGGGAAGGTGATTATTGTCCCAAAATATCTGAAGTTCATGTAGAAGAGAAATTAGACTTATTCTACTTAGCTCACAAATGAAAAATTAAGATCAATGGATGCATGACACAAGAAGTCATGTTCCAGTATCAGCATAAGGAAGAATATCTTAATAATTAGAACCAACTAATAATGTGATTTGTTGCTTCTGGAGACAGTGATTTTCCTGTCACAGTAGGTCCCCAACTAAAATTGAGGTGAGTACTTGTTGCAGATGTTTTTGAGGGGATTCATATCTCAAGCAAAGAGTTAGACCTGAGAGTGGTGTCAAACTCAAATAGAAACGGATCCCTGCTGATATTCTGTATTTATTTTGTTAAACATCTCCCAGTGGTTTTTAATCTGGTTCAGGTCCCACTGAGGAGTTTTCAGGCCACTTGAGGTAGGTCAGAAGTTTAACACCTTTCAACCAGATGATCTCTAAGGTTCTAGGATTCCAATTCTAGAATTCTACAATTACATAAGTCTCTTTTAGCTCTAAAATTCTATTAATGCTGTACACACACAAAATGAATTAAATAGTAAATGAACTATCTTGAAGTTTATCCAGAAGATTTTATTTTAGGAAGCATCATTCATTTGTCTTTTTTCAATTAGTAAAATCATAATGGATGAAAAGTGAATATGATAACCCACATTCTACTGTGTAACCTCAGGAGCATCGCTTAACTTCCCTGGGACTGAGTTTTTTCATCTGTAAAAAAGATCTAGACTCAGTGGTTTCTAAGACCCTTCCAGCTCAAGATCTATGATATCCTATGAGCTTATAAATAGAAATATCAAAACAATAGACTTGCCAGTTACTTTGCGTATCTGGTTTCCATATCTCCATGTGTTTGACATTTAAAGAAAATTGTTTTAGCATGGTTACATTTATAGGAATTGTATATTACTATGTCTTAGTCTTTTCCATATTTCCCATCTAAATACGAGGCCTAACCATCTGGACCACCGTCATCACATCTAATTGTGAGCACAAGAGGAAGTATGGATTGTATGGAAGATAAAGTATAAATCTCTAGAGAACTTAAAGAACCTGAAAAAAGTCTTATTAAACAGTACATAGTTAAAGCCTAAAAAGCAGATAATGATGACTGGCCTTGAACCCAAATGCAGGGTGCTAGATATGAGTAATGTGGGACTCCAAGCTGCAATAAAGTTCGAGGAGGAAAAAAAGTTAAAGGAAACGCAACAAATCTGATAAAGGGAAAGCCATGAGTTATGATGACAAATAAAACAGAGGGGAAAAAGTTAGGGTGGAGATTTGGTCAGGGTCTACAAGGTCTACAAGACGTTCACAGATTCACAGAACTTTAGAGCTGGAATCTTTGACCTTAAAGGTCATCTGCTCAATTCTTCTCATTTTACAGATAAAGAAACTGAGGTTAAGTGATTTTGTCCAAGGCCATATAGAGATAGTAGGGTGGCAAAGTTGGGCTTAAAACTAAGTCTTCAGGGTCCTGCTAGTCCAGTGCTCTTTTACATGCCCCTAAAAATAATTTAAAATGGAAAAAAAATAAAAGAGGAAGGTATGAATAAGTGACTAGCAGAAGGTACACCTCCCTTCCCTCTGACAAGATGGCTCTTTCCAGAACCTCCGTTTAAGGAAGGTGCTCAGGCTATCTCTGTCTCATTTTGCTCCAGGCTGCACCTCTATCATGCCCCATCTTTTCATCCTGATGCTCTC